CAACAACATCATCTACTGATTAAATACATTGTACTTACCAGCCTTCCTATAGGATTTGAGTGAATTGGAATACATTGGGAAACATGACAAGTGCTGTCACTACCCTCATGGGGCTAAGACTCTAGTGGCTTCCCCATGAAAATAGAAATCTAAGTATTAAATGAACTCTTTATTATAGTGTTGTTTAAAGCCTTGAGCCTTTGTACGTGTTGGGTGAACCATGGCTTCATAGGCCCATTTGTGGCAAAGAGTGATTTATGCTTTGGGACCTTCTGAGCATTTTACATTGTTTATTACAAATTTGATGTGATTGTTTTGCTAAAAATAAATTCATGCCTGTCTATCTGTGGAGACTGTGGAGACCAAAATATTGGCTTAACACTGGGGAAATGTGTTTATCTATCTTCTTTTATGGTCTTTCCCCATCAGTGTCCTGTTAGCCACACTAATTTTTCTCTCTGAGAAGCAAGGGAAACTTTTGAGGAGGCTGGAGATAGGACTTACCCAGAGCTGCACTGTCAGGGAGCACTAAGAAGGCAAGAATCCTTTCAGGACTAGACCTGCTGGAACGGAAATCAACTCAAAATAATAATCTTTTGCTTTGAGGAAGTGGAACTTAACACACACATGCCTGAGCTGATATTTTTGATTTTTCACCAATCCTCTCATGCCTTCTATTTGTGGGAAAATATCTTCCCCATTTTCCTCTTTTACTATAACCTTTACATATGTACATTAGTTGCAATATCTTTTTATTTCACTTTCCTAATTACACTCTACTTGTGTGACCATAAGAATTCCTGATGGCACAGTGGTTAAGTAGTCAGCTGCTCACTGAACGGTCAGTGGTTCAAACCCACCAGCCACTCCACTGGAAAGATGTGGCAGTGTGCTTTCATAAATATTTACAGCCTTGGAAACCCTGTGGGGATGCTCTGCCCTGTCCTGTGGCATTGGAATTGACTCGATGGCCTTAGGTTTGGGGTTGTTTTTTGTTTTTTTTTGCTTTGTATTTGTTTGTTTCTCAGTTTCTTTTCTTTTTCATCATTACCAATGTCCTATAACACCCAAATGCCTGAAAGTCAGTCTCTCTTCACACAGACCTTGTTCCTCATAAAATTTCCTTACTGTTTTGTTTTCATCTTGTGAAACTCCACTTAAAATTATTGGGTCAGTTTTTCAACAGGATAATAATGGACAAACACTGTCCATGAAGAATGACTTCTGGTCCTCCATGTTAGGAGAAGTTTGTGAATTTCATGGCATTGAGTATCATCACAACCAGGAAAGGCATGTGAGGTAAGTATTAGTCACATGACAGTGAACAGTGTGACTTGGGGGTCTTAAGGTGTCATGACATTTGTATTTGTGTTGTTTGTGTGTATGTAAAACTAGCTCTAAAATGAAGTGTTCACATAATTGTCACAACACAGGATCTCCATAAATACTGTGAATCACATACTGAGTGCCGGTGTGCATTGCCTAATGGCCATGATATGTTATGTGAAACAGGACTTTATGTGATTGGACATAGTGGAAACACCCTGTTTTGGTTCTCTAGTGCCCTCTAACAGAAAATACCACAAGTGGGTGATTTTAAACATACAGGGAGGGATTTAGTCTTTTAGAGTTTAAGAGTCTAAAGTCTGAGTTCAAAGTGCCAGCTCTAGGGGCTGGGGGAAGGCCCCTCGACCTGGGGCTTCAGCTTCCACTGCCACAGGCCAGACTGCTTGGTGGCCACTACAGTGGGAGGAGTCACAGCCTCAAGCCCAAGCATGATGCTCAGGGTGCCCTGGCCAAGTGGAGCAGTAGCCTGGCAGTTCACCCTTGGCAGCTCTGGCAGCATCTGTGCGGTCCCTGCTTAAGGCAAGTGCTGTGATATAGGCAGCCATGGATCTGTGCCAGGGTGGATGTGGGACCTGGAGAGCTAGTGAGAAATAGACAGGATCTACTGTACTGACCAATGTATGTCTGCTACCTCCTATTCTCTAGTCAGGATTTCTGAACTCTTAGGACTTTATGGGACTGTGGATGTACATGTGGTCAAATATTGCCCAAATGGACATTATGTGGCACATACTTGTATTTGAAACATATTTCACTTGTACCTAATTATCAGAAATTTCTATTATTTAGAAACACTGTGACTGTAATGGTAGCCCCTTTGTCAGATGATTCCACCTATGCAGCACACTTAGGGCAGGAAACACATATTTACTGTGCATGGTAATTGTGAAATGATAACAGATTTAATTCTGACAGGTTTCCCCTTTCTAGCAGAATATATACAGTAGAGAGCCTCGGTGAAAGTAAAAATGATAAAGTAAATAAAGGTGATGAAGATAATCAATGTGGAAAAACCTTCAGCTGGATTGGGAATCTTTCTGGGTTTAAAGGAGCTCCTGCTGGAGTAAATGCTTCTGACTGCCTTGAGTGTGGAAAAGCCTTCCCGGATCGTTCATCATTCATGCGTCACATCAGGTCTCCTGCTGAGTACAAAGCTTATCATTGTAAGGTGTGTGAAGAAGACTGCAGTTGTCCTTATTTACAACTTCATATGAGACAGAAACTTTGTAAATGTGAGGATTATGGGAAACTTTGTAGTTGTTCCTTACCTGTCACTAAACGTACAAGAACTCACAATGGAGAGAGGCCTTATGAATGTAAGGAATGTCAGAAAACCTTTAGTTATCTCTCAAGCCTCACTAGACATATAAAAACTCATAGCGGAGAAAGGTTTTTTGAATGTAAGAAATGTGGGAAAGCCTTTACTCGTTCTTCATCCCTTACTACACATATGCGAACTCATAGTAGAGAGAAGTCTTATGAATGTAAGGAATGTGGAAAAACCCTTAGTTGTTCCTCATCCCTCACTACCCATATGCGAACTCACAGTGGAGAAAGGCCTTATGAGTGTAAGGAATGTGGGAAAGCCTTTAGCTGTTCCTCATCTCTCACTACACATACAAGATCACACAGTGGGGAGAGACCTTATGAATGTAAAGAATGTGGGAAAGCCTTTAGTCGGTCCTCACACCTCACTACCCATATAAGAACACACAGTGAAGAGAGGCCTTATGAATGTAAGGAATGTGGGAAAGCCTTTAAGCAGTTTGCACAACTCACTACTCATATAAAAACGCATAGTGAAGAGAGACCTTATGAATGTAAGGAATGTGGAAAAGCCTTTAAGCAGTTTGCACAACTCACTAGACATGTAAGAGTTCACAGTGGAGAGAAGCCTTATGAATGTAAGGAATGTGGGAAATCCTTTAGTCAGTTTTCATACCTTACTGGCCATATGAGAGCTCACACTGGATACAGGCCTTATGAATGTAAAGAATGTGGGAAAGCCTTTACTCGGTCCTCACACCTCACTGCTCATAGAAGAACACACAGTGGAGAGAGGCCTTATCAATGTAAGGAATGTGGGAAAGCCTTTTATCGGTCCTCACACCTCACTGATCATGTAAGATCTCACAGTGGAGAGAAGCCTTATGAATGTAAGGAATGTGAGAAAGCCTTTAGTTGTTTCTCATCCTTCCGTAAACACATTAGAACTTACCATAGAGATAGGCCTCATGATAGTAAGGAATGTGGAAAAGTGTTTAGTCAGTTTTCACACATCACTGACCATATAATAGCTCACAGTGGAGAGAACCTGCCTTATAGTGAATTGCTATCATATGGCCATTCTGGCCATGATCTTGTTCCTCCCACAAAATGATTGGGTGAGACTATGCAAATAAGGTGCATGGAACTCTTGTAGGGGATTGGCCAGTTTTGCCATTCCACTGGGTTTGAAAAAGAGTCAATTCCATGGCTTGGCTCACTATCATCAAGAAGACAGGCCAGGAGTGGAGCATGTCCTTTGACTCAGTGTCTCTGTGCTGAGATCATCCTCAGCCCAGGAGACAGTTAACACTGATTGAGGAGCAGTGTGAGATGGTGAGCAGTGGCAGCAAGCACAATAGAAATGGGTGACAGAAGAGCCAGGAGACTAGAGCAGAATGGCATTGTGTGTTCTCCAGTCCTTGGAGGGAGGCAGCCACAGTGGACTTGCCAACCCACAGAGTAAGCTGAGTGCATTCAGGCAGGAGACTTGGTGGCAGAATGGTGTTCCTTTAACACTAGTTGGCAGAGTTAAGTTTGCTGACCCACGGAGCAAGGGAGCTGAGTGCCTCTGGCAGGAGGCTTTGTGGTGCAGTGGGGTGCCTTTGGGCACTTATTGCCAGAAAGATTCCCAAGTCTTCTCTTTTGAGGGGCAGGCCTCTGGGTGGGTCCCAACTATTAACCTTTCGACCAGTAGATGAACACTTAACTGTTGGTGCCACCAGGGACTCCCAGTGGAATATTACACACCCCTCAGGGAAAAAAAAAAAAAAATCCTAGTAAGCCAGAAACACCAAGCTGAGCAAAACAAGTCAATTATAAAAGAAATATATGACCTCAATTATAAGAAGTAAACAAATATGTATACAACAAAGCTAACTAATGGTTACCAAGGTGGGGGGCGGAGAAAGAGTTTTGCTTAGAAGCATTGAGTTTATGTTAAAGGTAATGGAATGAATTGGAAAATAAAGTAAGAATGTTTGTACAACCTTAACGATGTAATCAGTGTAACTGAAGTGTATGTAAAAATTGTTGAAAAGTATATTTTTAACAATAAAAAACATGGAGATAAAAAAAGAAAAATTCTGTAATTTCTCTTCCTATATTCATACACACACACACACACACGTTTCTTTTTTGGGAAAAAAGAGTAAAGCATTCTGGAGACCAGAAAGTGAGAAAAAGTGTGAATTATATCTGCAGTCTTGATTATTTCCTTTTTTTGTAATGCCTTGATTAGCTCCTGGCCCACCACTCATCTGTCAGTTTGTCCAACTGTGGAACTGTGGTAATAGTACTACCCAAAGTAGTCTGTACGTACATTCAATGCAGTCCTCATCAAAATTGCAACAGCATTTTATATGGAAATGGAAAAAAAAAATTAATCCTCAGTAATATATGGAAAGGCAAGAGGCCCCAAATAGCCAAAGCAATTCTGAAGAATAAAAGATCTCACACTTCCCAATTGAAAAACTTAGGATAAGTTACAGTAATCAAAACAGCCTGGTGATTCCTTAAAAATTTGGAATTAGAAATACCATTTGACCCAGCCATTCCATTACTAGGTATATATCCTAAAGAAGTGAGCGCCATGACAAGAACAGACATGCAGACCCATGTTCATTGCAGCACAGAAAATGACCTAGGTGTCCCTCAAATGAAGAATGGATAACCAAACTATGGTACATACACACAATGGAATACCATGCATCCCTAAAGAATAATGTAGAATCTGCAAAACACTGCATAACATGGATGGACTTGTAGGGCATTATGCTGAGTGAAATAAGTCAATCATAGAAAGACAAATATTGTATTAGTCTGTTATTGTAAAAGTCAAGGAAAGGTTTAGATATGGAAGGAAATTTTCTTTGTTGGTTACCAGGGGTGGGAAGGGAGGGGAGGGAACACTGTTAGATAGGTTGACACAAGTATTGATTTGGGTGAAGAGAAGAGCAATGTACCAAATATGAGTGATCAACACAGTGGCATTGAGGAAGAGGAAGACAGGTGCATGGGAGGTGCAGACAACAAAGATGAACCCTTTTGCAAATATAGTACTGTGTTGTCAGTGAAGGCTAACATGGGTATATGGGTGGATAGATGGGTGGACAGGCTCAACTATTAGGTATGTCTATGA